TTTAAGTGCTGGGTTACTGCAAATGTTTAAATCTTCCACTGTAATTGCAGTGCAAGCCTTTCAGGCATGAAGTAACTAGCACAATTGTCTGGCCTGGTGTGTAGAGGAATAATGGGTGGCATGGATGGGTGTTGGTTAGCACAAGGGGACTAGATATTGTGCAATTGCCACAGAACAAGAAGATGGTGCCAGTAAAGACTAACACACACTCAAAATGTCTTTGTGGGTGTTTAGGGAAGTTTTTAATGTCTGATGTTTTATTGTATTTTTAATATTTTGTTGGAAGCCGCCCAGAGTGGCTGGGGTATACAGTGGTACCTCGAGTTAAGTACTTAATTCGTTCTGGAGGTCTGTTCTTAACCTGAAACTGTTCTTAACCTGAAGCACCACTTTAGCTAATGGGGCCTCCCGCTGCCGCCACGCTGCCGGAGCATGATTTCTGTTCTCATCCTGAAGCAAAGTTCTTAACCTGAAGCACTATTTCTGGGTTAGCGGAGTCTGTAACCTGAAGCGTATGTAACCTGCAGCATATATAACCCGAGGTACCGCTGTAAATAAATAAATTGTTGTTGTTGTTGTTGTTTGTTTGTTTGTTTTGCAGTCATACAGAAGCACCCTAAAGAAGATGCTTTGCTTTCAGCAGTTTCTGCTTAAGGAAGGAACATAAGAAGCTGCCTTATACAAACTATGGGTCCAACTACCTCAGTATTATCGGTGCTAAGGACGAGGATGCCTGTGGTTTTCCAGGTGCTGTTGCACTCCAACTCCCAGCAGTCCCAGCCAGCATTGCCAATGGTCAGGAAAGATGGGAGTTGTAGTTGACTGTACTTGATCCAATCTTAGTAACATTGTTAAGTGACTTCCTCAAATCCCCCTGGCTGAATTTCAGTGTATATCATTGTAACAGTTTTCCAAAACCTATTTTCTCATACAATTAACTTAATCACTTAACCTCTTACTTTGTTTTCATTTTAACTTTAAACATATTATTCTCTAAAATTACATAATTAAATCCTCAGCCTATCTGGAATTTGCATTTTTTTCCAGTTAAGCTATCTTAGCATATTTAACTAAATAGTCTTTAAATTTCATCCATTCCTCCTGGTACTCCTCCTCCTTCTGGTCGCGGACTCTTCCAGTCAGGTTGGCTAGCTCCGAAAAGTCCATCATCTTCATCTGCCATTCCTCCAGTCGGGACTTCTTGTGATTTCCAATTCTTAGTTAACAAAATTCTAGCTGCAGTTGTGGCATACAAAAACAATCTAACATCTTTTTCGGGCAATTCCAAACCTATTATTCCAAGAAGAGAGGCCTCTGGTTTCTTAATAAATGTATATTTCAACATTTTTCTCAACTCATTATAAATCTTTTCCCAGAAGTCTGTAGTGCACCAACCTCTGGAGGGGCTGCAGGATTCCTACCCCTGCTATCCACACTTACTTGGGAGTTAGGGTAGCCATGTGTCCTGCTTTGTAGATGACATGAAGGGCTATCAGAAGACAGTCCTCTATTTTAAGGTACCCCTCTATTTGAAGGGTTGCTCAGAACATGTCCGGTTGAAAGATAACTCTAAGAAGGGAAAGCACCAGGGGCCTGGAAGCTGCCTATCCACAGCCAGCAGCAGCTGGCCGGTAGCACTGTTCCCCAGTATGGTGAGCTATGTTGTGTTTCTATTTAAATTATACTACCAATATCTAAATTTGAATCTATATGCGTAAATTAGTACATGCAAACTTTCTGCAAAGCTGTGTCCTTATTTTTTGGGTAGTGCATACCGTAAGTTGTCACCCTCCGGGGCGTAAGGACCTTTCTATGCGTAGAAAATTGCAATAAATTTTCCATTGTAAAACAACAGCTCTAACAGAGTTTCAGCTGTTGTTGTTTTTTAACAGAAAATTTATTTCGGTTTTCTATGCACAGAAAGAAAGCATGAAAGAGTTATGACGATAAATGAAAAAAGAAAAGAAAAAGACATTTGTATATGGGTTGAGCAAAAGTGCCCAAGTTTCAGAGGATAGTAATGAAAATGAAGGTTGTTTTCATGTAAATAAGGCAGATTCACATCATGAGCCATTAAGAATAGTTCCGGATTTGCCAGGATTGTGGGGAAGGTTGTCTTGAGAATGTTGGTTTTACTGACTATGCATCGCCTTCGACATTTCTCCAGTGAAAAGAGGGACGTCTTATTCCATCCCCTCCAACATATCTCTGATGAAAATAGGGATGTCCTATGTAATATCACATAGAACATTTCTGGAGGTTCTAGCGCTTGCCTGAATCTAAAGTTACATATAATTTTCTCAACAGCAGCTTTCTTTGGAATTGCACAAAAGTCCAGGTCAGATATCACAGCCAAACTATGGTATGACTGCAAGGAACATGCTGTGGGTGTGCATGCTCTACTTCCTAGTTCCTAGCAACTGCAGCGGCTGCGTCAGGCAAATTAAAATGAAAAGGCTTTACGCCAGAAGTAAAGCCTTTCTGGGTGACCTTGGGCCAGTCACTGCCTCTTAGCCTAACCTACCTCACAGGGTTGTGGGGATTCAGTGAGGAGGGGGAGAGACATGTACATCAGTTTGAGCTCCTGGGGCAGGGGGGAAGATGCAATATAAATGTAATAAATAAAATAATAAATCATGAAATTTAGGGAAACCTCTCTAGAAATGCAGAATGCTGACATGTGTTTTGAACTCTTTGCTTATGGGTGATTTTTAATTATTTTTTAATTATTATTTTTTAAAAAACGCCTGTTTTTAACTGTTTATTGATGTTTTAATTTTCTTTTAAAATATGTTTTTTTAATAAATCGCTTGATTTTGATTTCAAGCAGTGTTTGAATGCTGTTAAATAAATAACTAAATAAATAACTAAATATTCATTTAATCGAAACACATAAACACACACACACACACACACACAGAGCTATATTCAAAAAGGAGTAGTACTATCTATCCAATGAGCTGTTTTCCCATTTAGTGCCAAACTGAACTGCCAGAATAATTTATTATAAGACTAATTCTTTGGGTAGTTTGTCTGCATTTGTACTATCGAAAGTACTCAGCAACATTAGTTTGGGGCAACAAATAACAGATTCAGTAGCAAAGAGGATAATTTCTGCCAAAATGAAATTCCAGAAATCTTAAAACTATGTACAGTCCTACCATAAATGATAATACAGTATGTATCAGTTTCATCGCAATCTTTCAAACAAATAGGTGACATGGAGGAGAACTCTTTAGATATTTGTAATGGAGTGTGTACTACCTACGCAGTAATTTTAATGAGCTTTCCCTACTAAAGTTTTTTAAACGTCTGGATTCCCTAATCTTTTTCAAATCATTAGTTTGGATTGATATGCCAGCATCCTGTTCCCATATTTCTTTTGTGGGGTTCCACAGATCCAAAGACTACATTAAGTAATTTATAATATAATTAGGAAAATAGTCATTTCCTCCTCTTTTTCATTACGTACAGTAAACTTTCAAATTTTGTCAGAGATCTAAGGGCTTGTATTTTCACTTGTCCTTTTGTAATAAAGCTGTGAATTTGGTTAAAATAAATCCAATTTGTGTTGGTGTCTGTCATTTTAATTTGAGAAATAAATGTAGGGTAATTATTAGCACCAGAGGCTCGTGGGAGTATAGAGACCTTTAGATTCCCAATTTCAAAGTAGACATCAGACCCACCTTGGCAAAAATTTGGATGATGTAATATTGGGATAAGTGGGGAAGTAACTGGTGTTAATTTATGTTGCCAAAGTTTCTATGTTAGAACTGTAAAGTTAGTAAATGGATTTGAAACAGAATTCACTGTATTTATTTCAATACTTTTAAGAGAGAGAGCTTGCAATGGGAGGTTTGTAGGAAGCTTAGATTCAGTATCTACCCAATGTTTACAGGATTCTCCTCTTATTCTATAGACTTGTCTCACCTGGAAAACAAACAAATAATAATATAAATTGGGTATACCCCTTCCACCTGATGTTGTCCTGTGGAACAAAAAATATTTACCGGTACTTAATCTAGTTTCCTCCCTTTGGAAGTCAAAATTCATTATCACCATTTGAATTTTTTCCAGTAATTTGTCAAAAATATAAATAGGTGGAACTTGAAATAAAAATAAAAAGCATGATAAAACTTCATTTGGATTGTGGCTATTGTTCATAAAATTGAAGGTTTTTAGATTTCCATATTTTAAGCATGTGTGTAGTCTCCATATAATCTGCTTGTAATTAATATGAAAAGGTTTATTTAGGGTTTTTTATATGTCAACCCCCTACATATTAATTTGGCACAAACTGAAATTCTGAACATTTAGTTTAGTTTAGTTTAGTTTAGTTTTTGCATATTGGAGTAACTGACAATTGGTCAGTAAAGTTCTAAGTCCCAGTATGCATGAAACCAGTCTGAAATTAAAACATCCAACACAAGCAAACTGGTTCAATAAAATTTAGGAAACAAACTGAAGATGTACATAATAGAAACACATACTAAACAAGAAGTTTTGGAAATACCAGAGATATTGGAAAGCCTCTATATATTTGAATCAATTTTTTAATGCTAAAGGAAATTGTCACTCTAAAATGGCAAAATATTCAAAATGGAAACTACTAATAATTGAATCTGGAACATTTGGGGGGGGGGGGAATGGATACTTTTGATACTAAGGAAATTCAAACCACCACCACCACAACCACCACCACCACTAATCTGTATATACGCCAGTTAGTAAAAAGCACTCATACATTTTTTTACAAGTTAACATTTGCCAGTGTTGTATAAAGAACAAAACAGCACCCTTCATTTTAAATTTACTGAAGATGAAATCAAAAACATAATAAAAAAATGAAAGCTAACAAAATGCCAGGCCCAAGCAGGTTTCCTTCAAATTTCTACAAGAAATGTAAAGACCTACTTCTATCATTCTGTTCAATAAAATTTGGCTCAGTGAATAAAATACCAGACACTTGGCAATTATATTGAATAATTTTATTTATTAAACCAGGCAAATATATTACTGATGCAAATTCCTATAGACCAATTAACTCATTAAATCAGTATCAAAAAATATATATTTATGGCTCTTCCTGCTGATTGTTCAAATCCATCTAAAACCAGGTACAACCCACATCTGATCATGGTTCACTGTCAGACTGGAAAGCTGTCTCTGAGAAATATCCTTCCATCACTTGCTCCTGAAGATCAGGCATTGAAGGTGGACAAATACAATGGTACCTTGGTTCTCAAACTTAATCCGTTCCAGAAGTCTGTTCCAAAACCAAAGTGTTCCAAAACCAAGGCACGCTTTCCTATAGAAATCCAAAATGGATTAATTTGTTCCAGACTTTTAAAAACAACCCTTAAAACAGCATTTTAACATGAATTTTACTATCTAACGAGACCACTGATCCATAAAATGAAAGCAATGAACAATGTACTGCAGTCACACAATCAATCAATCAATCAATCAATCAGTAGCTGAACTGGGTTCCACACATTCACAAAAACAAAACAAAAAAAGAGCCGCAAAAAACAAAAATGCAAAATAAATAGCAAAAACAGACAGACCTCAGTCTAACACTGAAAACAGAAGTGTGGCACTCAAAACAGCATGTTCAGCTTCTGAAAAAAGTTCACAAACCAGAACATTTACTTCTGGGTTTGCAGTGTTTGGGTTCCAAGTTGTTTAAGTACCAAGGCTTTTGAGAACCAAGGTACCACTGTATCAGACCTACCGTATTTCGCAGAGTCTTAAATATTATAAGGGATAGCAAACACCATAGTAAGCCTGCAGCCATTTTTAAACTAGATGCATTGAAAACTTTTGATTTTTTTAAACCAGTCTTTTCTAAATGCAGGTGGCATAGCCAGCATAAGATTAAATGCCTTCGGAAATGGCACTATTGAAAGGAGCTAAACAAGGATGTCCTCTTTCACCGCTACTTTTTGTACTCACCACGCAACCGCTGGCAGCAGCGGTGAAAGAGGACTCGGATATTAAAGGTTATGAAATTGGGAACGTGCAACATAAAAATCAGTTTGTTTGCAGAAGACTTGGACTTACTTTTGTATAGACATACCTAGGATTGCACCATTAGATACCTTCGCCTATGGCAGGGGTAGGCAACCTAAGGTCCGGGGGCCGGATGAGGCCCAATCACCTCAATCCAGCCTGCAGACAATCCGGGAATCAGCGTGTTTTTACATGAGTAGAATGTGTTCTTTTATTTAAAATGCATCTCTGGGTTATTTGTAGGGCCTGCCTGGTGTTTTTACATGAGTAGAATGTGTGCTTTTATTTAAAATGCATCTCTGAGTTATTTGTGGGGCTTAGGAATTTGTTCCTTTCCCCCCAAAAAATATAGTCTGGCCCACCACATGGTCTGAGGGACGGTGGACTGGCCCATGGCTGAAAAAGGTTTCTGACCCCTGGTCTACGGCATCCTTCCTCCTAAGAAGGGGCCAATTGTTATTTATATATCTACATCTATATATCAAGAAACAGAAGTGTTGGCTTGCAGTTTAGCCTCTGCAAAAAGCTTGTCCATTATTGTAATATTCCATGCTGTGGGCAACCATTCTTTGCAAGTCAGGAACTATATTGAGAAGCTCTCCAGCTCCTAATATTCCAGCTTAGGTGGCCTCTCCCTAGGGTTGCCATATTTTCGCAAAGTTGTTGAGCTTTCTTTCACACACACAAAAATATTTTTAAAAAGGTTTTAAAAAGTAAAATAGTCCAAAACAACACTGTTGAAACAACACTGTTTTTTTGCCGGTTTTTGCCCGGACATGACTTCTGACAGCAGTATTCTATGCATGTCTGGAAATTCGGGGTATATGGCAACAATATCACCTCAAATATCATCTTGCCCTGAAGGAAGGCGAAAACTACACTGTGTACACACCATACATTTAAAGCAAATAACTCTCTCCCCCCCCCCCAATCTTTGGAATATTAGTTTGTTAAGGGTGCTGGGAATTGTAGCTCTGTGAAGGGCAACCCACAGTTCCCAGGGTTTTTTGGAGACATGCTTCAAATGTACTATCCACAGCCTAAAACAGGGCAAGGTTTCCTCCCCCCCCACCCCCAAGGGCTATGGTCCTTGGTGGGAGGGTGAAAAATGTTCTGTGGAAGGGGACATGCCAGAGATGACTGAACGTGTGGCCCAACATGTGGAGGGCACCACGTTGGCTATCTCTGGTGTACTGGATTGCAGCACGCTGAAGGTGCAGATAATGGTCTGCAGCAGATGTTAAGAACCAGTTTAGGGGCCAGACAGGAACGAACACATGGCGAAAACAATCAGAGCCATTGCATAGATTACAGGAGGCAGTTTAAAATATTAGATTCTAATCAGGGATACTCAAGAAGCAGAAGATTCAGGAAGCAGAAATATCTAATTTGATGTGGTCACTACTTCCCTCCTTTTCTCCTTTATCAGATTTCCTTTCCTTTCTTTTCTAAGTGTGCCTATTTTCCAGTGACCCCCATATTTTGAACTCCCGTTCCCTTTAAAAAAAAAAAAAGGAGGGGGTAGGGAGAGTAAAAAAAGCAATTTTCTAAAAAGTAAGTTTTATTTTGAATTTAAATAATAATCATGCTGTCCTTCATCCAGAGATCTCAGGGCTGTTTGCAATAATTAGAACAGTCACATTACTCAAAAGAAGAATGAAACAGCCGCAATCCTTGGCATGCTTACTCGGAACAAAATTCCCCTGAATTTAGTGGGGCTTATTCCCAGTGAAGTACTGCAGGTAGAGGACTGCAGCCTAAAGAAGGGAAAAGACTACAAACAATGGGCCAGGGTGTGACCAGAAGACTTAAAATACCAACACCTACAGGCTAAAAGTCCTGGAAGAGAGTGACAGGGTCATGTTTGTGTGATGCCTAATAGGCCTACAGAAGTCCCTTGCCTGCAAAAGTTGCCTGCATTTTCTGGCTGACCACGGAAGAGGAGAAGCCCCATAGAAATGCAGACTTTCAGTCTCCTGAAAGACTAGTTTTTATTTTTATTTTTTTTAAAGTCTTCTATCAAATGGACCACTCCATTCCTCCTCCACTAGCCCTCTGCATTTCCATGCAGGTGATAAAAGGTGTTTTTGTTCCTTCATGGCTAGCAGAGAAACCCAATGGGCTGCTAAACAGAAAGGTTTGCGTGATCCATCGCTTCTCCAGGAGCCCTCTCACTCGTCTGCGTGGAATTCCTACTCGCCTCTGGCAACCATGTGACTGCTGAAACACAAGGTTAGCCTAAAATGATAGCAAATGTGGCAACGGGTGAATTTCTGTGGAAAAAGGAATCACGATGGTGGGCTAGAGAGCTGGTTGTGTGGTCAGGCTAGGTTCTTCTGTACTCTTCAGACCACTGTATGGGGCAAAGCTCCTGCCAGTCATGCAGGAAGCCCTAGGTTTGGGCGATAGCATCTCCAAATAGAAGGTTCTCAGGTATCAGGCCCAGGAATGACATTGGAATCAAACCCTCCAAATGTCCCTATTTTTCACGGACAGTTCCAGATTTACAGAAGCTGTCCTGGTTTCTAATTTGATCCAGGAATGTCCCGCTTTTCCTTAGGATGTCCCTATTTTCATCGGAGAAATGTTGGAGGGTATGGAGTCCTGCTATATGCACCACCTACTCTCAGATCTCCATTCCCCTTCACACCAAATCTTTTTAATATCCTGCAGCTTAGACAGCAGTATGGACTTTCTATAGCCAGCTGAATTCAAACACAGTAATTTAGGTAAATTTGAAGTAATAACTTCTACTCAGGTTTTCAAACCATTAAAAAAAAAAAAAAAGTACCGTATTTTCCAGTTCCTGTTCTTTTGGAGCAGATCCTTGTAAAAGGTAGCCTAGACTTCAGCCATACCCACAAATTTCACAAGGTCATCTGCATGTATCTTGCAGCGTGTTAAATGCTGGGGAATTTTCTCCTGTCTCTGCACAGAGAAGTGATGCATGCAGGCACGCCAAGCAGAACTGGTCCTTATTTGAATAAGCTTCCCACATCTTAGCAACACCCTACGAAGACTGAATCTTCGCCTCAGAAATATTAATATTTGGAATACGCACACTGCCCGCACAGCTACTTGCAACACATGCAACCCTTTATTTTCTCTAGAAAATTTACAGCTCTGTGTTCCTTAACCCCTTCATTTCCTAACTAGTACAGACATGCATTGTTAGGTTTGACTGCAAAATCTCCCACACTTGAAAGATTTGGGGCACAAACCTATGCTGCAACATTGCACAAAATGTGCACATGCTAATTTTTATATAGAGATACACTTTAGGCTGTTTAATCAAAGAGGCGGGGAAGGGCAGGAGATCCTGGGGCTCAGGCTCTCCTGCCTCCCCTAGCAACACCTTGAATGAGGCTAACTCACAGCCTAAAATACCTATTTAAGGACAGACAGCAGCTAATTTCTCAAGTTAGGAGATACTGGGGCTCAGTCATGATCAGGAAGATGCCCTTCTTATCATGGAAGCCTTTTCCTCTCTTCCCAAAGGTGTGGGAGAGAAGCATAGCTCCTGAAAGGCAAAGGAAAGCACTCCTAGGGCGTGCTATTTTAGGAGCTGAAACTTAATTTTTGCAGATTTCTTCAATGAGGGGTCTTAAAAATATACTTTTGAGCTGCAAGGAATTCAAATCTGTTATTATTTTGTGACTGGACAACATTTAGATTTGCATATGTTTGATGAAGAAGCACAAAAACTGCTTTCAGAAAACCAAATAATTTTAATTTTACCTTCTGAAAATGCCAGGTAATGCTAAATAATAAGAATAAGAATAAAGAATAGTACTTGGCAATCCTTTTATGATCTGAAGTGAAACCAGAGTATACTTGGCAATCATTTTTAACAATTTCTATGCAATTTTACACACATTTTACTTACCGAGCAAAACTAAAGTATACAGTATTAATTAACCAAATTATTTTTTTAATTCCCAAGTCATATTATAACTTTTTAGCAAATTTGAAAAATTCAACATGCCCTACTACCTGTTTCCTGCGTGGAATGTTTCAGGGATGGACTCTGGCACAGAAAGCAGGTTCTGTGGCTCAGGCCCATCAGCGAGACTACAGTATATTTTAAAGAAGCTATGAATGCAACAGAATAAAAAGAAAAGCAAGCGTGAGACATTTATTAGGCTGGGGAGATTTTGAAAGGCAAATATTTTACAGCTTTACAGCCCTGTAGGAGTCTTAAATTTCATTTGTATTATTGAAACATATAAAAGAGTCGGATTCCACCGAGTGGTAGTTTTTCTTTGGAAAGCATGGGAGGGGCTGATTTACCAAGCAGTGTGGTTTTCCCTAGCTAGTGATACTTTGCATAGATAGATAGTTTGCCTAGCTAGATAGATGGTTCACACAGGTACCTATAATGGGTTTCTGTCCTGCTCTGGGTGCATGCAAGTGTCCAAGTAACACAGAGCTCTTTGTGAATAAATGATAGTTAATTCACAGCTCTAAGAGAGGAAGCAACACAACTTCTTCACATGCAGTACATTTGTGCTTGCAGTGAATGACAGCTGCACATCTAATAGAAAAATAGTATTTTCTTGTCAGATGAAGACTTCTGTCCCTAGCTAGTGAAATAGTGAAGTGCCTGAATAGAGGGATAGGGAACTGGTGGCTTGTGGGATGTTGTTGGACTACTATTCCCATCATTCCTGACCATTAACCCTTGCTGGCTGGGGCTAATGGGACTTGTAGTCCAACAACATTTGGGGCACACCAATCTCAACATGTGGCCCCCCCAGCCCAATTTGAAATCATACCAGACCCTCCTTTGCAAACGTGCTAGTTTGTCAAGGATGCTAAGAGTTCTTAAAGGTAAAGGTAAAGGTAAAGGGACCCCTGACCATTAGGTCCAGTCGTGACCGACTCTGGGGTTGTGGCGCTCATCTTGCTTTATTGGCCGAGGGAGCCGGTGTACATCTTCTGGGTCATGTGGCCAGCATGACTAAGCCGCTTCTGGTGAACCAGAGCAGCGCACGGAAACGCCATTTACCTTACCGCCGGAGCGGTACCTATTTATCTACTTGCACTTTGACGTGCTTTCAAACAGCTAGGTTGGCAGGAGCAGGGACCGAGCAATGGGAGCTCACCCCGTCATGGGGATTCGAACCACCGACCTTCTGATTGGCAAGCCCTAGGCTCTGTGGTTTAACCCACAGCGCCACCCGCGTCCCTTCAGAGTTCTTAGGGGACCCCTATTTCCCTCGCAAAGCTACAATTCTCAAGAGTGGTTTAACAAACAATCCCTCTTCATAGGGAACTCTGGTGAAGTGCCTCTTGATAATCCATGAATCATGGTAGGCCGCAATCCAGAAATAAAACAAGTGCACTGAATAAACTAAAATTATGTTTCAGTCAAGCACATGCTCACATTTCTCCCTCTGAAATTAAAGGAAAGGTAAAAAAAGAAAAAAGTGATTAACTCTGACTAGTTTATGCCTGTTTACTTGTAGGTTTTCCGCCAGGGAAGGATGAGTAGGTACATAAATATGCCGGCTGCTGCTAATTCAGATACCACCACTAAAATGTCTTATATTAGACCTTTCTCTTTCAGGGGGTACCAAGGAGCACCCCCACAGTTCAGCTACACACAATATTCTGTGTGCTGTTGAAGTGTCCAGTGCAGGGTTGGCTCCGGGTTTGAGGGGCGTTGGGCAGAAGGCACCCTCCTCTGGCAGCACTGGCAGGCAGCAGTGCTCTGAGCAGTAATGGGCAGTTTGGCAGCTAGCCATCATTTAGATTTCCCACAATGCCCCGCAGTGAGGCTACCTTGGGGCACTGTGGGAAATTATGCTTGTTAGACACAGCCACCCAGTACTGTTTGGAGTGCTGAGGTGGGTTTTCTTTTTTAATTATTTTAGTTTTAGGGTTTTGTTATTATTATTATTATTATTTTAAGACCAAGTATCAGCAGAGGGGTCTTCCTGGTAGCTGTGCTCTGGTGGCTGCCTCAGGAAGCCAGAAGCTGGCAGTGTCCCTGGTTCAATGGCACATACAGATCACGCTAGTTCGTTCTGACTATTAATCTGGGATGTGGAACTGGTGGCTCCCATTAATCTATACCGGCTGGAGCTGGTGACGACTGGATCCAATGACACCTAGAGGGTGACAGGTTCCCCATCCTTGACCAACAGATGTGATACAGGAGAGATCAGCGATCTGATCTCCCAATATCTTTATTTTATCATATTTCACAATTACATTTCTATTCCCATTTTCCCCAAGGAGCTCGTGGTAGCATACAGGGTTCTCCGTTTTACCCTCACAACACCCCTGTGAGGTAGGTTAGGCTGAGAGATAGTGGCTGGCACAAGATCACCCAGTGAGCTTTCTGGCTGAGAGGGGATTTGAACTCTGGTCACCCAGGTCCTAACCCAAACACTACGCCATGCTGGCTCTCACTGGGGGAAACTTTTAACTGGGGTGCAGAGCTATCGAGGGGCTGGTTGTTCAGCCCTTCCCTTGACCACTGTCCCCTGAAGTTGCAAGCAGTCTGCTGGGAGAAAAGTGTAGATGTTCTGGTTTCCCCTTCATAAGCAAGCATGGTAGCACAGGTAGTGCTATCCATTGGCCTAGGGACACTGGCTTTTGCATAGACCAAGTCAGATAATTGGTCCCTCTCTCTCTACAGTGGTACCTCAGGTTACATACGCTTCAGGTTACATACGCTTCAGGTTACAGACTCCGCTAACCCAGTAGTGCTTCAGGTTAAGAACTTTGCTTCAGGATAAGAACAGAAATTGTGCTCTGGCGGCGCGGCGGCAGCAGGAGGCCCCATTAGCTAAAGTGGTGCTTCAGGTTAAGAACAGTTTTAGGTTAAGAACGGACCTCCAGAATGAATTAAGTACTTAACCCGAGGTACCACTGTATATGACACTGACTGGCAGCAACTGTCTTGGGCTTCAGACAGGCCACTTTCCTAGCCTTACTGATAGATGCCCAAAGATCTGCCACTGAGCTAAGATCTTCCTCCAAACCTACATCTCCCTGACCCCACCTTCCCAAATCTTCCTAACAATTTATGCAAACACCTCCTTCTTTTCTTACAAATCCTTTTCAGTGGAAAATGCTGCCTCCCCCATTCCCTAAATCACACTCAATCTTCCAGAAAGCCTCTTATGCATAACAGAAAGCAGGATGGATCTGCATACCAACAGGTAGATCTTAGTAGCTGATTGGTTTCACAGCAGTCAGCCTGCAGCTGTTTCAAGTTAACTTCTGAACATCCACAGAGTACAAATTAGAGTATAATTAAAAGGTCCTTTCACCTCAAAACCCATCAGGGGATCCTCAGTGAGGGACAAATTCCCCAAGTCACATAGCTTATGAGCTTAAGCGAGAGGCTATCAACTGAATTCAGGATGAGACTCCTCTGTCCATTTCCTGAGAAGCTCGGCTCCCTCTGTGGGTAAGTTGACAGCAGGAGAGGAAACCAGGATAAAATTTGGGTTTTAAAGTATTCAAAGTTCTCCTTTGTTTCACCAGGTACCATACAGACAGTCCTAGTTCTTCAGCCAAACTGGTTGTGGCCTACTGACTGTACCCAACCCAAGGGCCTTTTATTGAGAGTAAAGGAAACTCCCATTTTCTGAAGAGATCTTTGTGGAGCCCCAGCAAAGGGATTCCTGCATCCAGCATTTCACCTCTTGATGTATGTGCTAATTACTTATTTTGAGGATTTTTATCCTACTTTTCCAGCTGAAAAGGGGTCCTGAGTAGCTTACATGAAATCGAAATTAAGACAGGCCCAGCCTGCAGGCTTTTACAAACACAGAATCTGAAGGAAGGCCTCCACACATAATGATCGTGCTTTGTGTGTTAAAATCAACAGGGGAGACCCTCCTTGCACCTTCACTGACTGTGCTTTTGCTCAGTTGTTCAATATACTTCACGAAGGCCTTTGGTTGCGGGATTATCTTCCTGTGCACTGTTATTCTGGTACTGTATTGGCTGTTTCTTGTAATTTTTTGTTATTTTAATTTCTACCTTACACTTATTTTAATTGTTAGATTTTTGTGTGACTCGACCTGGGCCCAAGGAAAAGGAAAAAGGAACAAGAAAAAAACTCACACTTACAAAGAAATGCAACCACGACTGCTCAGAAGTAAGTCCTGTTGAATTAGTTGGGGCCACCTACTTCCACATAAATGGGGTTAGGATTGCAACCTTAGAAATCAGTTTTCAAAGTTAAACGAATTATTTCATTTATCTCTATGGATATGTTACAAGAGGGGGTCTTCATCCCCTCCTTTGTTTTGTTTTTTGAAAAAAGAAATTGGCACAAAGTTCAAATCCTGTGTTATCTGTGACACAGGCCAACCCAATACCCCTGGAAAGTGCATTAGCAGGACACGAAGAGAGAGCCATCCATTGCTCTATGTCCACAACATTAAGGTTGGAAAATCATCTCTAGCAGACTCTTACACCAGAAAAGGGCTTATAATTTAAAAGGGGGGGGGGTGTTGAGACACAAAGCTTTAAAGAGTGTCTGTGCCTGGAAAGAGTGGAGGAAAATTTGTGGATAACCCCTGAGTGAGATTCCGCCAGAAAATATTTATTCTTTACCTATTTGGCAGCAGTAATTCATATATATAACTGACAGAGGATTCATTTACATTTTTAAAAAAGACGAGGGGCTCAAACCTGCCTGGAAACCATACTGTCTGATCTTGCGCCCTAATTTCAGACGCATGGCAGTATCTCTGAAGGTACTGTGCCAGCGCTCAGAGACACACTCACATTCAAGGAAAAACTCATGCATCTAAGAGAAAATCCGGGACAATGAAGGCAGGTTTAAAGCTTGAGTCCTAGTAAGTTCTGGTTCAAATTAAGATTTCAGAAGAGACAAAAAAACTCTACAAAATCCAATTTTGTATTTGGGCAGTTTAGTGCCATCTTGTGATCACCAGCCTCAACTGCAACTAGGAAAAGAAAGAAGGTAATATTTTATCCTGAGCTTTTGTGAAGAGAGCCTTTGAGTTTCTCCTCTTTCTGGGTTTAGAGACTATGAGGGTTGGATGGAAAACCATGGGGGTCTGTAAATATTTTATTTATTAGAAGTCTATATCCTAATTTTCTAGAGTTGGCGGTATTAGATGTTCTTTATAATTTAATCACTTATGGACTTAAAGGTGTAAGTGCTCTATAAAACCAACCTGTTCTGCTATACTGGTATGTCTGCATTTATTGCACATTATGTTCTATATAAGATGATGGCTGCGTTCCTAGCCACACTTGTCTGAGAGTCTCACTGAGCTCAATAGTATTTACTTCTGATTAGGTAGTCATAGCATTACACTGTTTATTGGAAAGGCCTTTCAAAATGGCACGACTCTCATAAGAGTATTAAAAATTCAGTATTTATTTGTTTATTTTACAGATTTATAAAGTGCATCAAAGCCAGAATCTATGAAAGGGTTGTGCAGTAAAGTAAAATATGATAAACTACAAAAGTTAACAGACCCTAAAAGGATTACTACAATGTACAATTAGTAGTAAATTGGCAATAAATTGGCTGCTTAACAATTCAGGGAATACCTTCTTAAACCAAAATGTATTCCCCACCTGACTAAGCATTGAGGTACTTAGGCCATATGCAATGGGATTTTAAATTTTAAATTTTTGCTGTGTGTATGGGATGTTATGTGCTGGTAACTCAACCTGAGCTTTTAGATGGAGTGGGCTATCAGACTAAGTACCTACATCAGGGGTCTTCAACCTGTTTGGTACCTGGGAGCACACTTGGAAATCTAAAGAACTGTCACAGGCACCACAAAATACCATTTTCACAGAAGAAAATCTGACGATGCTCCGAAACAGTCAGCACACCAAGACCTGAAGCAAATAAAGGACAGAGGGAGTCAGCAGACAACACCTCTAAAAAAACAGGCACCCTCCCTACCAAAGAAAAAACAAGCAACAAGAATGGCTGCAGCTCAGTGGTACAGCATTGGCTTAGAATGCAGAAGGTCCTATCCCTAGCATCTCCAGAAGGACTGGGAAAGACTCCCCTCCTGAAACCCTGGGGAGCAGCTGCTGGTCAGTGTAGATCTGTGTTCCCCAAACTTGGGTCGCCAGCTGTTTTTGGACTACAACACCCATCATCCCTAGCTAGCAGGACCAGTGGTCAGGGATGATGGGAACTGTAGTCCAGAAACAGCTGCAGACCCAAGTTTGGGAAACACTGGGACTAATACTAAGCTAGAGGGATCAACAAGCTAACTTAGTACAGTATAAAGCAACTCCTTATGCTCCTAAAAAAGCTCATATAAAATAAAAAATAGGGGTGGGCAGGGGCCTTGGAGTGTGCCAGGAGGTGTCTGAGGTTTCATGATGCCAATGAATGCTTTGTTGGGGACCCCAGAACTAAACTAACAGTTGCATCCACATCAGGGTAGGCTGGTTGTGTGACTTGTGAATCCAGAAATGCCTCCAGCCACATAGTTTCAACATGCTGAGAACTTCTATCTGGAATTGACCCTGTCTGGCCACACACCTGACTTGGTATATACAAGACCAGTGTGGCTGGTGCAGACATGGAAAGTATGAGAAGGCTGATGTGTTCAACTTTCTAGAGGACAGCAGGATAAAGCAGCAGTGTGGGGGAGCACAGCTCTAGCAGGAGCAAGAAAATAATAATAATAATAATAATAATAATAATTAATAATAATAATAATTTATTATGTATACCCCGCCCATCTGGCTGAGTTTCTCCAGCCACTCTGGGCAGCTCCCAATTGAGTGTTAAAAAGAATACAGCATTAAATATTTAAAACTTCCCTAAACAGGGCTGCCTTCAGCAGTCTTCTAAAAGTCAGGTAGTTGTTTCATTTCCTTGACATCTGATGGGAGGGTGTTCCGCAGGGCGGGCGCCACTACCGAGAAGGCCCTCTGCCTGGTTCCTTGTAACCTCACTTCTCACAATGAGGGAACCGCCAGAAGGCCCTCAGTGCTGGATTTCAGTGTCCGGGCAGAACGATGGGGGTGGAGATGCTCCTTCAAGTATACAGGACCGAGGCCATTTAGGGCTTTAAAGGTCAGTACCAACACTTTGAATTGTGCTCGCAGCAATGTAATTTACTGGAGTGTTTTTTTTACCGGTGATGTAAGCTTGAGGGGCAGGGCAGGTAGCTTGCATATGTTCCCTTTGCTAGGTAGGCTGGGCTTACAAAATGAATGGCCTAGGGTCACCCAGATAGCTTCCTGTCTGATCAGGGATGTGAACTCATGTTTCCCCAGCCAAGTCTAACATGCCATATCACTACACTACCCTCTGCCAACTCATCTATGTTTCGATTTTCCTTTTGGGGTCTGGCTATGGACTCTTTAGGGATGTGCCTTGGGCGGGACAGGGGGCTGTCATGATGAACTCCCAGACTTCCAACATATACCACTACACCACAGGAGAGGAAGCCAGGCCATAGGTCAGAGAGCAAGCTGCCTTTAGAGCAGAGAACACTTGGTGGCCTGTGATGAGAAGGGAGAGATGCTTGGCAAGGCTCAACCTCACACCCCAGGATCAAAGAATCGGTAGAACTGCAGAGCTGGTAGGAACCTCAAGGGTCATCTAGTCCAACCCCCTGCAATGCAGTTCCTGCTGCCAAGTCTCGAAACCCTTCTTTTACCTCTGGAGTAACACATGCTGGCAACAGCTTCCCAGGATCTCAGCTGGTGGCTTTTCTCATCACCTGTTACCACTTTTAATTAGGGAGGTCAAGGAATGAACCTGGGACATTCTACATGCAAAGCATGTATTTTGCTAATGAGCCAGGGGCCATCCCCTGGTTTGCATGTTCTTTGGAGCCTTGGTGCTACTGCCCCCTATCTTCACCCAGATAAGGCCAGCAGTTCTGGGACTTAAAGTGGGGGGGGTGCTGTTGATGTATGGGGCCAACTCAAACAAGCCCAGTCTGGCAATTGGGTACCAACATTTATTTGGGGGGTGGGGGGAAAGGTAAGATGAAATTTTAAAATTTCTGAATGAACTGAGATAAATAAGGTGTGAGAACCCCAAAGGGCTAACTTAAATGTTGTTATTCTAGACCCAAAATGAACCACACAATGTACATTGGCAGGAAAAAGATTTTATAGACCTCCTAAGAATGCTGCACACCTGATCTCTCTTTCTCCCTCTCTTTCCTTGCACCAGCGTGATAAAGGCTTACAAACATTAGTTAAGACAACCAATTTACCCATTGGACTCTGCAACGACCTATAACAATTGATTAACTGTCTGATAAAACACCCATCTCTCTTTACTGAAGCCGTTATAAAGATTTTATACATGGAAACTTAATGTACTCATTTAGTCTGGGGCATTTCACGACCAAGGAAGGCGTAAGATTAAGCACTGCACTTCAACGTTAGCAGGATTTTGCTGGTTCAAATGGTTTTGGATGCAGAGAAAGATTCCCCTCCGCCTCAACTGATCTCTTCTGGCAAATTTTGCAAGCAGGGATTTTTGAGGGACATATATCAAGCAAAATAGCTGAACCACCACAGTACATTGTTGTTGTTGTTTAAAAAGGTCATGCCATAGTTTAAGACTGACTGGAAACCATGTTTTCTAATGTTGAAGCTTGGCCTCAGGACCCCCAGAGTTGGTGGTGGGAACTGAGGTGCTTGCTGTTACCAGAGTGGTGAGTAGAAAGCAGTTTGCATATGTTCAGAGGGAGTTTGAGTCCTAGGAATCAAGACCCCGGGTTCAGGAGCGAGCCAGCAGTGAATCACACTGTGCAAGTTGGAGTTAACTCTTTAGTAGCAAGAACACGATCTGCACAGGAGTGTCAGGCCTAATGAGCACAGCTACTCATCTCCAGTAGGTCTTGCCTCTACGAAACAGTTCCTGAGTCCTCACCTCCCCACAGCTGTCTTAAGTCCCCTGCTCCCCAGAGTTTTTCTCAAAGCAAATCAGAGACTGCACCTGCATGTCACCAATCTCTCCTCTGCCCGCTTCAGCCCTCTTCTGATTCTGGGAGACCAGTGGGGAGTGGAGCTTGTTGTGGCAGGAGGGGGAGACACACGTGACTCTTCACCAGCCTGACCCATCTTTGCCTCTTGGCATCTCCCTTCCCACTCACCAGCTTCAGCTTCTGCCTCCATTTCTGGACTTCTCTCTGCACAGACTCTCCCACTCACTGAGTCCTGTTACCTCTCCAGCTTCTGGCACCTCCTCCTCCCAGTCTTCTCCCTTTGACCACTCATCACTGTCCCACCATCACCCTTGGGGCTCTGAACCTTCTTCCCCTGGTGGTTCCCCAGCTGGTTCCTCCCACCATTCCTCTGCATCCAACCAGCCCATGACATCAGCAACCCTGGAGAGAATGACAGCTAAACCCAGGTGGGGAATGCCTGAGGAAACACAGCTGTGCCCAGTCAGGCTAAGACAGGGCTGGAAGCACAGAGCATGTGATCCCTGCACCTGAAGCTGACTCAGATTGGAACCTGCCTTAATAATAGCAGTGACCTATTTAAGGAGAAGAGAGGCAAACCCCAAGCTTTGGCACAACTCTCCAGGAGAGGCGTGAGGAGGCGTATTGTGAAAACCAAGGCGGTGACGTAGGACATCGAAGCGCAGAGGAGGATGGAACAACCTGTGCTGGCTTACGGTGCAGCAGAAGTGACGGAAGCAAGGCGCACTGAGGGACTATCGCGCACTAAGAATCAGCAAGGGCCAAGGGGGACAAAGTACCACTAAGAGCAGCCAGATGCAGGACAGGTGCTGGGGCAGTGGGGGGGGGGGAGAGTTGGAATTTTCTGGGACTTGGCTCTGCACCACCCCCATCTCAACCCTGCACCAAACTCTAACTGTGACAATAGGCCTGAACAGTGCGACCAACATCCTTAATAAAGTCCAGGCATTAACCACTTACCTGTGGGTGTAGGCCAGTTTGTATGTATACCCAAATTAAATATTTTGCTACTGCATGGGTATCTAGTGGGGGCAGATATACCGTGGGGTAGGCGCAGGGAGGATCGCTCCCCCAGCATGGATAGGAGAGCTGATAGGGGAGTCCTATCACCTGATGTGGGCGGTGCTGTGGTCTAAACCACTGAGCCTCTCGGGCTTGTCACCAACTTAAGACTTTT